AACCACCGTCGACACCATAAACATCGACACCGTTACCAAAAGCATGGAAACATACGAACGTAGCCAGTACGAGGTGTCCGATGCCAGCTACGCTCAATTGAGAAATCTCGAGGCTTCCCAGAGACCGGAAGTGATCGAGATCGATGAAGACGAGGAGGAGGAGGAGGAGGAGGAGGATGGAGCCCGAACACCAGTTAGAGCGGCGACGAGAAACGACACGGTGTCGATTTTAGATTCCGAGGCAATCGATAACATGATGGTTGAAGCAAGGGGGGATGTGGAGGAGGAGGAGGAGGAGGAGGAAGGGGAAAACTACGAAGACGATGATGACAGAACGGTTGTGGACGAGACGGAGGATGTACATGTGACGACAGTAATCGATAGCTTTCTAAATACGCCAGAGTTCCAAGCGCCAGAAGAACCGGAAAGTCCAGCATACGACTTGTTCGATGACAGCGAAGAATCTCGGTGGGTGTTTAATGTACCAACTCCCGGAGGAGGAGGAGGAGGACAACAACAACAACCAGAGGAGAACGCGGAAGAGCGCGAAATTGAAACCGAGTCTTTGGTGAAACAAGTGGAGAGCATGCAAAGGGAAAAGGTTAAGGCCGAAGAGCGGGAACGGAAAGCAATCGAGACTTTGGAAAAAGAAAGGGAAGAGATGGCCGAAATGAAATGAAATTTGGAAACAAGAAATTCAGAATCGGCTCGGGAAAACGAACGAAAGGATATGATCTTGGCCGATGCCAAAAATAATCTGAAACGGACGCAGGAGGAATTGGCAGAGGCAAAGTCCGCCGCCGAGCGAGCCAAGACAGAATTTCACGAGTCACGAATGTCGGAATTAGAAGACAGAATGAAGGAACAGTCGGATGCGCAGGCTACGATCAAGCAACTGGAAGCTGAACTGAGTGCTAAGAAGAAAAGCTTGCGCCAAGACGACGTGAAGGTGAGCGTGATGTCAGAGGAACTGAAAAAGGTCAGAGAGAACATAAAAGAATTGAGCGAGAGAGCATACGAAAGCGCAACCGAAACCGAAGATAGCATTTCGGACGATAACGTTCGAGTCGGATTCGACGCTCTAACCGCCAGAATCGAGGACGGCCAGCGGTAATTCGAATCGGCCCAGCAAATCATCGACGATCTTCAGACAAAGTTGAACGCGCGAGATAATGAACTGTTGATCGCGAGAACGGAATTGATAAAACTTTCCACCGAGACGAAAGGCCTCGAACGTCTGTTGGAAATGTCGCAGAAGCGTCACGAGAAATTGACAGCGCAGGCCGAATCCGATATTAGATCGTATCAGGAAAAGACAGCTGATCTGACCAACCGGATCGAAAGCGTTCACGCCAAGGAGATATCGTCTTTGAGCGAAACGATAGACGAACTGAAGGGACGGTTGGACGAGGCCACCAAGGCACGAAAACCAGACGACAACATGCTGCTGAAGGAAGCGAACCGATTGAGAGAATCGGCGAAGACGACTGAATCCCA